CGTCACTTGTACACGCCTTTGTTGAAACAATGAATGCATACTTATCCACTTCGGTTTATTTTCCATCAACAGTATCACTTTCTAGCCTTGATTGGCTGTATCTACATGTCAATCACTCTGGGTGGGTGCTATCTATAAGCCCTGGTCCAAAAGCTTCTTAGCTGACCAGTCTGCACATTTATTAGGCTGTATTCTATAATTTGATGAGTCTAAACAGCACATTCTGATTTTGCAGAGTTCGATGTGTCTCTGGGTCAACAAGTGAGGGGTTTGAGCTTGACTTATTTAACCAATCAACGTCTTCATTGTATGACATCACTGCATTAATTAAAACCAGTGTTTTCTGTTAAGTGGCAAGATGTACAGATTTCAAAAGTTATTGTGCATGTCATTTGATAGCTAAACATCGACAAAACAGGAATATACTTACCAACAAAGGCTGAACAGAGCAATGTAAGAGTGCGTCTTTATTTCATAATGATAATAATAGTAATAAAAATAATAAAACTTGAACCAGCAACTTGAACTTAAAGCCTTACGTCATTTAATGTCATACCTCAAACAATGTTATTGGTTAAAGAACTGAAACGCAAACCCCTTCACTGGTGACCCAGGAACACATTGAAATTAGGATGCCTAGTCTAAAAGAGTCCCTTCTATATAAAGGTCAGTTGCACTGGCCCAGTCTAACAGGATAGGTTCTAGAAGTTTCAGTAACTCAGGCTCTATAAATTGTGTTTTCCCACAACAGCATTAATTGAAATAAATTTATTTTTATATAGCGCCTTTCACAACACAGACTTGACAAAAACTTCAAACGTAGGCATTCTGCATTCCTACAGGCCGCTGCAATCCCAGGGGTGTCTCAGACCAGAACATCCCAGATTTACAATGTCATGCCGACACATACGCGCTATACCAGACTGCCTCCAGGCCTCCCTGTCGCTAGAAACCCAGCCCTCCGATCTACAGCAACTTCCGCAGTCCAGGCATGACTGACTGCCTTCTCCTCGGCCAATCACTGGCCAGAGGACCCTTCTCCTCGGCCAATCCCTGGCCAGAGGACCCTTCTCCTGCACAGTCGTCCAGCCCCTAGCAGATGGAGGGAGGGGAGGGGCGTCCCCTGAGGACAACATGCCGGAAAGAAAGCGCAGTGGGGTGATTTATTTATTTTTTTTAAAAATCGGCAAGTTTACAAACCTATCGGCCCGTACGTATTCGCCATACTGGGGACGTCGATAGGTTTTTTTTCTTTTTTGTCCAAATGCCACTATCTACTATACAGCCATTCACATCTAGATGGACACACATATATACCATATTCATACACATTTATGTACGCCTTCCTCAGTCCTGTGGTCTCCGGCCTCCTCGCCCGTCTCCTGACGCCCTGCTCAAGGGACTTGGTTAGTATTACAAGTCATCAGGATCAACATGAAGAAACACGGCAAGGGGAGCACAGGCCGGATGCAGTGTGAGGGTCCCCCCAGGGTGGGGTGGCAATACCCAGCACGTACGTGCGCATCGATTGGACGGGAGGCGGATCGACGGACAGGCAGGAGGCGACACGGAGCAGCAGAGCGGGGACCTGGCTTCCGGCAGGGACATGCCAGACTATGGACATGTGGTCCATTTCTCGGGTTTCTGTTAAGCATCCTCGTGAGTTTTTTCAGCGTAGGCTTCCCATTTCTGCATCCAGAGGATAGGCCCAACGAGCGGTGAGACAGTGCCCCCTTTCTGTTAGGCATATTCTTTTTTGGGGGGTTGGGGGGAGGTAACGGTGACAGGAAACTTTGTGTGGCTAGGCCGTTCAATGACTCGCCAGGGTCCCGCCCACTGGATGCCATAATACATGGATCCTCGTGATCTTAAAGAGACAGTGCAGTGCATGGGGGGGGGGACGCGTGCATGTGTCACTTCGCGCTCTGGGGGTCGGTGTGCTGCCGTGTCACCTCTTCGGGCATTGCAGGATCCCAGTCCATGTATTACAATGCAAACTTAAATGCAATTTTTTATTCAATTATTTTTTGCAGTTCCTTGCATGAAGCCAGAGCACAGGCGTGTGCAGGACCTGAGGGAACGAGGAGGATGTCCATATCTGTTAACGTGTCTTAAGCACACATATGTCCGTGTTTCTGGACATTGGAGATAAGAATCATCCTACCACTAGGATGTATCAGACTCCTCCTTGGCTCCAGCTCGCCCCCCAGGTCCCAAGCCCCAGGCCGCGCCCTTCACCCACCCACATCCTCCCCTCATCCGGGCCCCCCCCCCCTCCCAAGCAGGCTCCCCAGGCCGTGCAGAGTAAGGTGTCTGAAATACCTGCTCCGAGGGACAGTGGCCTGCTGCTTCTGAACCACCTGGGCACTAAAGGGTTAAAGGTGCCTGGTGTCGTCCCCCCCACGGAAATGAGCCATGGGTCGGCCAATTGCTGAGCAGGGGGAAGGTGCCAGGGTGGACCAGGGGTGGGGCTACTGCTGACACGAAATGACTGACATATGAAGAATGCGGTTATATGAAGATGGAGGGAGGACGTGGCCTGGTGGACTGACACTGTTATGGTGCTGTGAAGGACCAATCAAATGAGGGAAAGGTGGAGCCACGGAGAAACCCAAAGAGAAGCCAAGGGGGATGACTGCAGACGAGCTTAGAGAGTCAAGAGAAGAGATGCAGAGCAGAGACGGGGCCTGGATTAAATTGCTCTGGCCTGAGCAGGCGGGTGCAGGGGCCAGCTTGCTGGGGGGGGGGGGGGGGTACACAGCACAGTGAAGTTTGTGGCAATCACGTGGGTGATGACGGAGGAGGTGCAGTGGGATAGAGAGGACGGCTGAATGGCGTGAGTGGAGGACCAGGCCCCGAGGGAGGATGGCTGGGCGTGTGTGTCAGGGGGGGTATGAGGAGCACTTACGTGAAGGCGAAGGCCACCAGGGCACCACTAACCACTATAAAGTCCAGGATGTTCCACAGGTCGCGGAAATAGGAGCCCTGGTGCAGGACCAAGCCTAGGACCACCATCTGCAAGACAGAGAGACGGGCGTGAGCTGGCAGCAGCTCGGTCTGAGCCAGACCTCCATGCAGCATGCGGGCAAACACAGCTAACCCTCCCATGACATCAAGAGAGCCCATTGATTCCTAACTCTTACAGAGATTATCACGCAAACCGAGTCTGCCCAGGTATTGCCAGCTCCCTGAAAGTGGCACGTGACGGCAGTGTTCAGAACTCACCTTGATGAGCATCTCAAACGTGAACACGCCGGTGAACACATAGTCGAAGTACCGCAGCACCTGAGAACACAGAGCGACAGCTTGGAATGAGCCGGAAGCCTAGCAAGGGTAAAAGCTGACGAACGCAATGGAAGGTAGGGAGAGAAAATCAGGAAAGGGAGAAAGCCACAGGGTAAAAGAGTGTTCTAAAGAGTGCACGTCCAAACCAGTCTGTATGTCAGTCACAGCTTTTAGCAAATATGTTCCAGAACATTGTGAGGTCAAATCCCCAATCAAGGAAGCAGAACAGCTGCATGAAGCAGCAGCTGCCATCTTTATTTTGCTAACAAAGACATGCCACAATTACAGGACACCCCCAAGGAAGGAGATGCAGCAGATGTATTAACAATGGACAGGTCGGGCGGCTGGGGGGGGCAGCTCACATTATTGCGGGGGGAATCTGGCTGAATGGGGTCCTCCGCCGCCAGGGCAATGCTGCTCATGGCGATGACGGACAGGATGCACATCTCGAAGTAGCGCAGCGTCACGATGTAGTGGCACATCCTGCGGAAGCTGCCGGCGAAACACGAGACGGCGTCAGGGGCCAATCAGCAGCCGCCTCCACCGAGATTCTGGGCCAGCGGTCATGTGCGTGACGGCGGGGCAGCTTACGGGTTGGTGGTGGACAGGATGAACATGGAGCTGTAGGGGGGCATGGGTTTGGGCCCGTCTTCGTCGCCCTCTCCGTCTCCATCCTCGCCCTCCTTCTTTTCCTCGTCCTTCTTAGGTGCCGGTTCCGTGTTGGCGTTCTTGTTCACTGGCAGAACCAGGTTGGGGTGGGGGTGCGGTAGTGGAAATATATTTCATTTAATAGGCATTCATTCTTCTTTTATATATCTTGTCCTATACAAAATCATGGGGGTCTGAAGCTTATCCTGGAAACAAGGAAGGGGTAAATCCAGGACTGGGAGTGATCCCATCGCAGGGCACTCACATGGATGATCGGACAACTCCTAATCATCATAGCGGATCATAGAGGAAACAGAACAGTCACAAGCAACTAGGGACTAAAGTGTCCCGAAATTAAAAAAGCTACAAACCAGCACAAACATTTCTCTATTCTAGATGGGGGGCCAGATTAATAATCTCAGAGTAGTATGAGAGGGGGCATATTTCAGAACACAGTTCAAAAAAAGTTCTAAGAGTATTTAGAAACACATAATAAAAATAAGAAACAGTGACTCAGATGTAGGATAATTTTGGAGTGAATAGGGAGTACTGACACATTAATTGTTTCCTCTGAATTTGTACATAATTTGTATGTATCTTTATTTTAAATGTCAGTTTATTTTGTCCATAGATAGCAATAGTTTGACGTGGAATTAATAATAACATTTTGAGAGTGGTGCTGTACCATAACACAGGCGTTTTTATAAGGGTTTCTAAGTACATGCTTCATTATATCAGAGCTGTTTGTGATTTATGTCATTAAGGCTGCTAGTGTTTCTTATCGTATTCGGTTAATGAAAAGAACAAAGTAAAGCAATATCTTAATTACGTACTGCTACTATTTAAGAGTGATTCTGCCGACGTGATTCTTCTGTATCTTTATTTTTTATGCTGCAGTTTTTAAAAATAGCCCACTTTCGTCATATGTTCCCATTTTGTCAATCCCCCCCATATTTTTACCTGGAATTTACACTTATAACACTTTTCTCATAAACGGCGTAGGTGGAGAAGCAAGATGTGGAAATCTAACGAAAAGCCTGAAGTGACACAAGCCACTGACTGACATGCGATTATTTTTATCTTGCTGAAAGACCAGTGGGGCAATGGAAGGGGGACACCAGAGATGTCAGGGGGATACCCCATGATGTCATGGGGGTAGCACACAGGGAATCGAACCTCAGGCCCCAGGAATGTGAAGCCACTGTCCTAACCATGGTACCACTGTGACATAATTAAAAAGACAATGAAATATCTTGAATATGTATGCATGTAGGTCAAACAGATAGACATCTGCCAGTATGGAGGGTGAGAGAGGCATGTCTTCGAACCAGTACTGTTAGAAATTCAGAGAGTGCCCTAGGTTAGATTTGCTGCTTCTGAGACAATGTGAAATATGCTTGTAAGTCAGCACCCCACCAGAAGGTGGCGCCCTATGCAGTTGCCTATGTTGCCGGATGGGCAGGCCGGTGCTGCTTCCTCCTTACCCTGCAGGATGGCATTGCTGGAGGGGTACACAGGAGGCATGTCCAACACTGTGTGCTCCAGCTTGTTGGCCACGCTCTTCCTTAAGTTGTCGGGGCACATGGGGACAAAACCACCCTCGGGGGCTCTCCCGGGGTTACCGGCAGGCACCTGGGGACAGGAGATGGGAGCCCCGAGCTCCCCAGCGTTAATGGCAGGCAGGGCTGGCGGGGAGGGGCTGCGGCTGAGTCCCACCGCGGTCCTCATGCCCGGGGCCTGCGTGGCCAGCTGGCTGTTCTTCACGTTGTCCATGTCCTCACTACGCTGGCTGTCCTGCCGGGGAAGTCCTTGCTGGACCGGCCGCATGGTGGACAGGTAGGGGCCGTTGCCCTGGCCCTCTCTACCATGGGAGGGGGCACGGGAGAGATCAGAAGAATGAGGCTATGTTTGCAAATATTATATCACATCATTACTCACACATAAATCAACATAATATCCGTCGATCCCTCACAGCTGCTTATCCAGTACAGTGTCACAGTGAGCCTCGATCCTATCCCAGGAAGCACAGAGGACACACTCATACCCAGCCTGCTAACTGACTTTACCAGCCTCCATGATTACCTTCACAGGTTGATTTTGCTCTCTTTGGTTTGGTACCGTGCTCTTTTATCCCATCTTCTCCCAGCTGCCTGCATACTCACTTCCTGGGGCGGTGAGGCCGCATGTGCTCCCTGTCCCTCCTCCCGTCGTTGTCGGCGCTGGATTGCACACCGTGTCGACTTCGCCTCGGCCTCCTCTCCATGGCGTCTGCATTGTCGCCGTCCTCCACCTCATCGGGTCCTCGGCGCCTGGCCCCCCGGCCTCCCCCTCCTCCGTCCTCGTCCTCCAGTGGCCGGCGGTGCTGTCGGGGCCGCCACTGCTCTGGCGGGCCCCCCCCCTCTCCGCATGGGGTCCGGCTGCGGCCTTCCCTGGGCCGGCCTGCTGGATTCCTGTGGGGCTGCCTGCGGTATGGCTCACAGCTACGGCCTTCTGGACAGTCCAGGTGGTTGAGTGACAGCTGGCTCTGGCTGTGGGGGCCCCGGTACTGCTCCCTGGAGTCCGCCCTCTCGTAGGACCTGCCGCCCCCTCCCCCACCCCCGGCCCGCTCATTGTGGCGCACCTGCTTGCGTAGGAACTCTTCAGCGCGCTGCTGGCTCAGTCGCTGGTCCTGAGACACTGGGTCGCTGGGCCTGGTCTTGTTGGTGTTGTTGTTGCGGTTCTCCACCACCAATGGCCGGTCCAGGTGGGTCTTCATGTGTCGCGAGTAGGCCACCTGCTTACAGACCAGATATCATAGAAGAATTTGAGTCAATGCTCACTACCAGCCTCTAACTTCATCAGCTAATTGCTAATCCTCACCTTCCATTGGTCCTCGGGGTCCAGTTCATTGTATAACGCCTCACGACTCGTCATCAGGTTATGCCTACGAATCTCGCTAGTCCGCTGTTCCCACACTGATTGGCTGGCCCTCTGGTTCTTCTGCTGCTCCTTACTAAACAGAGTTAGGAATGAAAGAACATCATGAACCATCATAAATATGGCTTAGGTGACACCAAAAAGGTATTGCTAACACCTGCAGCTTTGACAAAGAGCTTTGGCAAGATGGTGCACAATGCCAACAGCCATCTTCCTCTCAAATCCAGGAGTTCTGATTTGAGAAAAGCCACGGAGCTTGTAATGGTTTGGACAATGAAAAAGTGATGAGGAATAAAAACAATGAGAGTCTCAAAGAGAGTGCAGCAATCAGCGGAAATGGGTTGGGAAAAGTCACTGCTGTCCACAGGCAAACCAAACAAAATGCTTAGCCTACGATGCCTCAGGGTGTGTGGCAGAGCTACAGAGAAGAGCGAGAAGGAGCAGACAAAGAGAGACCAAAGAAGTGGAGAGGAAACATTAACAGAAGAACAAAGGAAAAGAAAAGAATCAGTAAATGAATAAATACCAGTTCAGAAAAGTCTCTGTGGTGCTGAGACGCTCAGTGTTTACTGTCACTCTGAGGAGGAGACAGTTGGGGTGAGATGACACTATGGACCATGGGAATGTAAAGAGAGCCCTGATAGATTCCTCCAAGGTCTTTCCACAGTTTTTTTCCAATCTAGGCTCAAGTGCATAACATGCGAATGAGCTTAAAACAATCCTCATCTTCTATTAATGACATCTTCAAAGTACTAAGACAGTGGTATCATGGTTCTACGATTTACAGAACAGTACAGATTTAGAAATGGTCCTAGTGATTCCAGATTCTAAGTTCTCGTGTCTGCTGTCCAAGCTGCAAAGTACCCATTTACATATTTCTGCCATGTTTCCAGTGCCGATGTAAAGATAGTCACCATGGTCACACCTTGCCTGATGTTCACAGCTCGCCTCACCATGATAGTCTGTTTCTATGAAGCCAAAAGCATCACATCTGAGCCCAGAACATGACTTTGTGCGTGTGAGCTTGCTGACTCTCCTATCAATGGTAGGATAGCCCCGGGACTCAATGCGCTAATAAAAGTGAGTAAAAGTTCCTCTCTCCTCAAATGTCAAACTGGAGTGATGGAGCAGCGATTCTACGCCCATTTTCCGCAAAGTAATGAACTCCTGATTTCTCTGGATGTCTGGGAAGCATCAGCATCCACGGCTAGTAGACAGATTCTCAGCATTTTTCACTGTGACATTCACTTTAGCAGAAAGTACTTACGCCGCGATGGAGAGATTGGCTGCCGACAGTGGGCTGACCTCTGCCATCTCCTTGGCTTTCTGGAGGGCGATCTTCTGGTTGGTGGCTTGTTCCTCCTCCTCTTCATCCTGCCGGAGATTCCGGGGAGGAATGCTGAGATTGGCAACAATTACACCTCCAGTGTACAATACTGGGTGAGAGTAAACTCTTACGGAAGTTGATTTCGGATTACAAGTTTCCTCGGCAGAAAGGTGTACTTCTGATGTACACAAACATGAGGTAGCTTTAATTAGTAATTTATGACATTTATGAATGTATGACGTTAAATTGAAACTTTAGAAGGATAAAAAAACAGAAATGATACAAACACACATGAGATGTATTAGCGTACAGGACATGAGATGAGCCTCCTAACCAGTCATAACTAGGAAGAGAATGAAGGAAAAATGAATGAAAGTTTGGGTGATACCAGCAGACTCCTATGAGCTGAATTTGGAGTGGGGTGGGGCGGAGGGGGGGTTTTACCTTAGTCAGCTCTTGTGCATTGGCCAGGTTGTCCACAGCGATGGCCAAGAATACGTTGAGCAAAGTGTCTGAGATTGAAAAGTTAAAGAGTACACACCATATATATGACAGGCTTTAGCTGTCTGGGATTAGCTGCAAAGCCCTCCTGTATCTCTGTACTGGGAAAGCAGATGGGAGATGATTGGGTAGGTGTGACAAATACACTTAGTGCTGCGTCTCCACACCAACAGCGGTACTGATCAGGATACAGTTCCCAAAGAGCGTGAGGACAATGAAGAATATGGAGTAGATCATGCCATTATTAACGCCACCCTGAGACTTGATTCCGTAGTACATCACCACGTTCCAGTCCTCTCCTGTTAAAATCTTGAGGGGGGGGGGGGTAAATTCAATCCATCAAGCAACATCAAATATGAAAACAACAAAAACTGGGATCATTACAAAAGGAAAACCACTAACGATATAAATTAAAGACTATAAATGAGCTGTGACAGTGCTGAAAGATTTCATTGTAATCTTTATTCTCTGACATATAAGGTGCTGTCACCGGTGCCGTTCCATCTTCAAAATGCAAGAGGATGGAAGTGATGGACAGTGAGAAAGGAGGACAAACTTCTGGGATGCTACCACCACATGAGAAAAAAGGCGGGAGGGAGACTGAATCTGTCGTCACTCGTCTTTAATGATTCTTACCTGAAACACTGTCATTATTGCTGCTGGGAAAGTATCAAAGTTGGTGGATGGAGTGCCTGACTCAAAATTGAACCTGCAATGGGAAATTAAAAGGGAAGGGGTTAGGAAGGCAGTCAGATCTACTAGGAGTGAAGCATGGGGAGGGGGTGTTTGTGAAGGGGCCCTCTGGGTGGGGGAATGTGGTTTGGTACTGACTGGCCCCCGAAGAGCTGCATGCCCAGCAAGGCGAAAACCACAATGAAGAGGAAGAGCAGGAACAGCAAGCTGATGATGGACTTCATCGAGTTCAGCAGGGACACCACCAGGTTGCGCAAGGAGGACCAGTATCTGCAATAAAGGCACCCAGTTACAGACTCATGGTTATGGTCTTCCTCATTGCACAAATAAAAATGACCATCATCATGTTCAAAGTCATCATCACCATAACCATCATCATCATATCATCAACTTCTTCATCATCAAAGTCATCACCATCATCATCAGTCATTACCACCATCATCAAAGTCATCGTCATCATCACCATCACTGTCATTGAACTCATCATCATCAAATCATCATCAACTTCATCATCATCATCAGTCATCACCATAATCAGTCATCACCACCACCATCAACATCATTATCATCATCATCAAAGTCATCACAATCACCCCTGTCCTCAGGGGATATCAGACCTCAAAGTAAACATCAGACTTTGCACCATATGATTTCACACTGAGTGTGAAAAGGGACGGGCCAACACACAAGGTAGCGTGCATGAAGCGGGCACGCTAGCGCCCTCGTGTGGCGACTCACTTGGTCACTTTGAAGATCCTCAGCAACCTGAGCGCTCGCAACACGCTGATCCCAAAGGAAGTGCCTGGCTTGATCATTGCCCATATCACCTCGAATATGCTTCCCACAATGACCTGCCACACACACACACACACACACAGCTTTGTGTTAATTACTGTACAACACTATAGCTACACCCATTAGTGTGTATGGTAGCATGGACTGGCTGCAATGTATGGTAAAAATGCTCAAGCTAATCTGGCCACAATCTAGAGCAGTGTTCCTCAATCCAGTCCTCGGGGAACCACGGTTAGTCCCGGTTTTTGTTTCAGCAAAAATGTGCCCTGTCTGTGGGACCCCGAGGACTGGATTGGAAAACACTGATCTACAGTAAGCACATTTTAGTGTCTTCTGATAATACATTTATTTATAGATGCTTTTGTCCATAGCACAAGTACAGACCAGACAGCAACTGAGAGAGCAAACTAGGCCAGTCACAAGGCCAACTGGGGTCAAGGGCCATGCGCTGAAATCGCTCTGCTGACCACGAGAGTTAAATAGCGACCCTGTCATCCAGAGCCACAGAGAAATTCACCGTCCTGAATATGTTTATGAACCTGATCATAGAGGCTAAGCGAGCCTCCATTTGACGAGCACGAGGCAGAAAGCGACTCACGGCACAGTCGAAGCAATTGAAGGAGGAGTGAAAGTATGGCTGAGTGCCCAGTCCGTACATCTTTATCAGCATCTCCAGCATGAAGAGGCCCAGGAAGATGAACTCAGCATAGACTAGGACGGAGAGGCGAGGAGAAGATAGCAAGGGGAGCGAGGGATTGAGTGAGGGAAACAAAAAGATACATTACTGATCCATGTGGGGAAATTCTCTTTATGATTCCCCCAATGTGCTCTCTGTAGGTGAGAGCAGGCTGGCCACGAAGGGCAGCCACCCATAGCAGCAGCCATGGAGCTGAGGGTTAAGGGCCTTGATCAAGGACCCACAGATGTGCTAAGGCCGGGGCTCGAACCAGTGACCTTCTGATCAGAGACACAGAGGCTTAGCCCAATGAGCCATGCACAGCCCCTCATGTTACAAGCTATATCACATAAATCACTTTGGTTCCCTCTTTTCGGGGAGCCAGGAGTTTTCTGTCCCGGGGTGCAAGCTGGAGACAGAGAGGACCTGTGGTGGCAGAAAGAGGGCAGCGCTGCTTCACCATCAGATGCTGGGCTCACAGGAAGATCATCGATTTAATGCACCAGGATGAGCCGGGATTCAGCACTCGGCAAAATGGAGCAGTATTGACAGCTCAGAAGGTGACTGAGAGGCATGGGATGGGCCTGAAATCCCGGCAGGGTCTGGGGGGCGGGAAGGGGCAGGGGTGGGACTCACAGAGGAAGTCGGAGAGCAGCTCCGGCTGGTCGTAGTGCACGATGGCCACGCACAGCGTGTTCAGGCCCACCAGGCTGAGCACGGTCCAGTAGAAGGCCTGAGTCTTCACCATATGCCGGATGAAGAACCGTAAGCGACGCTCCTTCTTGCTGAAGTTGGAGCCCTCCTTGCCACTCTTGATGCTGGCCCGAGCGAAGGGGGACCCTGTGGAGGGGGATTGTGGGTAATCCGGCAGGGTTACGTGAAAACCCTGGAAAGTGCTGACGCCGTTAAGAGCGTGGCGACGGCGTGCCAGTGTCTGCTTGCCGCTCTGCTCGTTTTAAACGTGAAATCTGCATTTTTAAGGCAACCGAGAGCTCCAGATACATGCTGGTCCAGCCCAGCTATACCTGGAAATTCCGAGACAGTTTTGCAGGACCATTTCCCTGGGCCTTTTCTGGGTATGAAACCTAATTACACCTCCATTATGACAGCTAATTACACCCATGGTGGGGACACTCTGTCATTCTAATGCTACTTCATGTCATGCTGTGAACTGAATGCAGTAACAATCCCCCTGTCTTTTCTAATTGTGAGCTGTTAGGGCTTTTCTACAAATGTATCGACTGGGCTTGCAAGTTGTTATGCTGGTTAAAGACAGAAATTTCTCTACGGTGTGAATCACACTCAACAGGCAGGTTCTGTGCTAATACACTTTGTTTTAAATTTGCCGCCCTCCACACACCGTCGACCCCCCCCACCCCAGACAATGTAACCGTCTGCCCCCCCTGCGGGGCTCTCTTACCCACAGTCATGTCCCCCAGGGGGTCCTCCCCTTCCTCAGGGTTCAGGAGGTCGGTTTTGCTCTTCTTGATAGTTGGTCTTCGTCGTGATCCTGAGTATGATACACACACACACACACACACACACACACACAGGTTTGTAATTATATCTTTGTGGGGGCTCTCCAATCATTTTTATGATGAAAACTCTAATCCCAACATGACAACCCTAACCCCTACCCAGCCCTAACCTTAACCATAAGCAACCAAACAAAATGTGAGACATTTTGTATTTTTAGTTTTTTGATTGCATTTGCAGATCTTTGTGGGGACCCGAAAAATGATCCCCACAATGTAATATAAACCTAATCCCCCCCACACACACACACACACACACAGACACAGGTGATAATATCTTCTTCCTGGCCTCTATTCTACACCCTTTATTTAATGCCTGCTCTCTGCCTTCTCCCTCATTTGTCTCCTTATCTCCCCCCCCCCCCCCCATCACGCTGGCCTTCGGCACCCCAGCACGGCCTGTTCAGCTGTCACTGCTATAAGAGAATGAGAGGAGGCGTCCACCCCACTGGAGGGACAGACAAGAACATGAATAAGGGATAAAGGAGGAGAACGTACCGTCAAAGGGCATTCGGTCGCCGGTGACATTCTCCTCCTCCGCCAAGATGACCTCCTCTAAACAAGGGGGGAGAAGGGCTCATTCAGGCAGCCAGCCAAAGGCAGCTCAGCTCATCACTGTGTCCCCAAAATCAAACTGTCAGGCTGCATGTTAGTGATTGTCTCACTGTGCAGATCAGTCAGCGTGTCAGTCGCAGTGTCAGTGTGTCAGTAAGCGGTGTCAGTCGCAGTGTCAGTGTGTCAGTCGCAGTGTCAGTGTGTCGGCATGTCAGTCAGAGGTATCATTGTGTCAGTCAGCAGGTCAGTCGCAGTGTCAGAGTGTCAGTCAGCGGCGTCAACATGTCAGTTAGCGGTGTCACTGTGCATCAGCGATGTCATTGTATCAGTCAGCATGTCGGTCAGTGTCGTCAGTGTATTAGTCAGTGTGACAGTCAGCGGTGTCACCGTGTCAGT